GAGAGAGAGAGAGGGAGCAAAAAAAAAAAAGTTCCTGCTTGCTATCGTGATTCATTTTAGTAAGGACGAAATATAAGCATGTGTCAACAATAAATGACATATTATGATGTCGTGTAATTATCATCAAATTTTGCAATTTTTAATTTAGGAAAATTAACAAAATTAAAACCTTTTTATTGACATAAAAGCGAAATTTCAAATGTTTCCGTGTAAAAATCTTTGTCAAATATAATACAATTTGCAAAATTTATTATTCGGTAAATTTATTCCTTCCAAAAAATTACTGATTAAGATGTACCATGAGATTCTGCAAATATTTTTGATGTCATTAATGTATGAAGCAAAAAAGATAAGGAGCCTATCAATGCGTATTAAACTCTGGGATATCTCGGAAGGTTTCGGAAATATTTGGCTCGAAAACTTCCATGGTATCTCCGATTTAATTCACGCTTTATCTTCCATTATTGAATTTTACCTCTAACTCTTGCATAATTTTCACAACTTTAAACTTTTTCCAAAATATTTGCAAGTTGATTACCGATGCTTTCACTTTTTTCTTTTCACTTTTATCAAATGATAATTTACATATTTCCCGACAGTTTCCAACCACTTTAGATCAGTATCAGCCATGATTTGAATTTTCCTACCGATATTATTCCACTTTTCCAAGAAATAAAGCTAAATTTATTAAAATAACTTTTCATCCACTTTCAATATTCAATTAAATCACAATTACCCCAAATGTCCTGTGTTTTATCATAATTGTTCAGTGATAATTTTTGATTTCAAATATTTCTCATATGAAACATGTATACATAGTAACAGAATTAATTGATGTTTGAATAAATTGTTCTTCGATTCACTGAATCAATTTTATTCCTTTTCAAAATTATTGTAGATAATTTTCACAAATTAATTTTATAAAACTTGAAGTCCAGAAAAAGAATTAGTTTTAGAAGTGAATTGAAAAAAGAAAAAGAAATGAAAACAAAGACATAGCATCAAAAAATTGAGTAAAATTGAAAAGGTAAATTAAAGCAAGTGGTTTGTGGTTGGAACCATCTTTGCATTTATTTACCCTTTTTGTTTCCATTAAATTCAAATTGTTTTAATCATTTATTTATTTCAAATCTGAAGAAATTAAAATTGAAAAGTTGTATGTACAAAAGCGCTCATTTATGCATGATATACATCTAGTTACATCTAGTTGAAAAGATCGGAAAATTATAATTTCTAATTGATCATGCTTTTCATATATCATGCATATATATGTATCTGTGATAACAATAATTATTAGAAATAAAAGATAGCGATAAAGGACAATAATATTTGGGAGATGATGTTTGATAAGACGGAAGATAGGATAATTATCATATCATCCTTAAATATAGAGTTGTTTTTATTTATAACTGCATTAAACACTTTTCAAAACTTGGCTATATTTATTGAATTTTTTTAGGGTGCTAAAAAAAAAAAAAAAAAACAAAAGCGTAAAATATTATCAAAAGAACGCTTCCCTTTTTGCACTTCATAAAATACTTCTCCCTAGTGAATAGATTTTATTCCACAAAGCATTTTCAGACAGCACTGAAAAATTGAATAGAAAACGCCGATATGTTGAAGTATTGATAAAACTAGGGAAACAATTGCATTCGGCAGATATTTCAAGTTAAATTTGATCTAGTCAAAATATAATTATCAATCAATTCCGCCCTGTTAAACACAATAAGAATCTAACACGACATCTTATCCCATAGCTATCAGAATATATATTTGATCCATTACTCTGATTAGCACAACTGTGAAATCACGTTAAAATGATCTAACAAAACATATTGAATATATCTTCTTGTAGGTTAATCGAAATTCTTTTACTAGAAACACATAGATTGATTAAAAGCGCCTAATATGCGATACCAAATAACTTTAATTGCTTTTAGATGCGTTACAAAAACTGCTCGACGACAAAGAAAAATTCAGATCCAGGAAATATAAAAACAGTACTTTTTTTTTTTGATAAAACTACGCTGACAATATCTATATAGAATAAATAATTTTTTAAATTAAATGTTTAATACCAATCTTTTTCTTTTTCAATAGAATCATATATTTGAAAGGAGTTCCCGAAATTTCCCTTCCGCGCCGAAACTTCCGAATTTATTAGGAAATTACAGTGCTGGTTTATTTTAATTTAAAAAAAATGATACATCCTTAAAACAAGATTCAAAAATAGCGTCGAAATAGAAACAATAAGCAAAAACGGGCATTCAACATATTTCTAAAATTACTGTAAATCCATCCATGCAATTTTCATCTCAATACAAATTTTACAATTACAAGAATAAAGGGTCGCTTCTTCGGTATAATAGAGCTGAACTCTATTAAAGTAATAAATCCTGAAATTCATCACCTTATGAGCGCCACTGAGTTACTCACTCAAATATCTTAAAACAGAAACATTCAAAACAATATTAAAAGGGCGTGTATTTTTAATATTCCAAAAATATTACAAGAAATGATAAAACAGACAACATTCAAAATGCATTTGTTCGATATAAGTTACGATAAAGAAATCAAGATAAGATCAACAATGACTGGTTTCATTTATGGTTTCTAGAGAATTGAGACTAAAGAATCAAACATATTCATCACAGCTTTCATACTATCATGTCTATGGTAATACAGCATTGTTCGAAGATTCCCAGAAAATATTCTAAGGAGTAAACGACAGTTATTATTACCGTTTTCTTTCTGCGAACGAAAAAATGATACATGATCCGCGCCACATGAGATTTTCTAGATGCTTGATATCTACCCTCCTTTGATATAATTTATAAGGAAAACAAAAAACATTATTATGGGAAGCAGTTACATCACACGTTTCATTACACATTTCATAACATGGGATTTTTAACAAGTCAAGAATTGACCTCTTGAATTTTCGAAATAACAGCTTTCATTTTCAAACTGAACGAAATATTTCGAAAACCGAGATAAGCAGTAGGTGAGAGGCTAATATCAAGTTTACATGTTTGCATTTAGGCCTAAATATTTCATTCCTTCAACTTGTATTGCTTCCCGAATTGCTCAGCAGATAATTGGATATATATAAAAATGACCCTATCATGATGCACTTTTTTACCACACTATTCATATAAAAGTAGAGTCAGAATTTGCGAAATTTGCTTATAAAAGTCAGAATTGCATTTGTAATAAAATATAAAATGAGGTTCTCAAATAAGGCATCTCATAAAATGGGCAATTCAAACAAAATTTTCTGAAATATTTTCACGAATTCTTTTTGAAAAAATTAGTTATTTTTGTCTGACCTCCAAAACCTTTCTTCGTACACTTCCGTTGATTGTCTTTCGCAACAGCAAATAAATTTAGTTTCCTACATGAAAATTTTTTCTTCTTAGATATCGGAATCAACGCCTGAAATTTAAATAAGCATAGCTTTCGACCAGACATCGGAGAATTTAGGACTAAGTAAACAGTAAGCATCAAAGAAAAAATAAAATTCAAAAATGACATAAGTTCGGCTCTCCAACACATCCAGCAAGGTTTTATTGATAGTAACGACGGTTACACCATCACAATGGATGAAACAGCCTAACAAGAACCGACAAACCTGGAGACCACAAATTCAAACCTTAGCCTTAGAATATAGGCTGAAAATAGGATCGTTCTTTTATATTATCAGATTTATTATACATGTACAATGTAAAACTTCCAAATATATTATATTATAATAGTAACCTTGTGGGAAGTTTTCTTTTCTAAGCTTTCCGGAATAACGGGAATATTTTCTTTCAATGGAACAGTAAGATCGTCATAATTTTCCACTCTAGCCAAAGATCGAGATAATGGTGTATCAATGCTTTAAGAAAGAAATTAAATAATTTCTTTAACGATTAAAAAAAATACAGGATAGAACTTCTCCCAAGAATCTCGAATCCAATAAATGATAAAACTGAATTCATTTATCCATAGATTATTCTGTTATTATGACCGTACCAAAAGATAAATATAATGTGTAGTACTACAAAAATCATTATGTAGAAACAAAAAAAAATTACTTGATGAAGCTAGCAATACGAATTTCCTGTACGTTTGATGTTGCATTTTGTTTTGCAATTTCTTTTCGATTAACAGGAGTCACCGGATTTGATACCACATCTTTGCTGTTGGGAGTTCTGAAAAAATATATCCTGAAAATAATATGGACTACCTAAGGCAAAAATATTGTTCAGCAGTCTTTGTAATCATTTCCTTTCATATTTATTGATATAATTCATCGGGTAATCACTGATAATATCAATCTTTTTGACATAACACCACCATTTAATACATATTAGATAAATCCTTAGATATAATCACATGTTTGATAATGGAAACTTATTTCGAAATACTAAGTGGTAAACAGAAACTTCTCGCGTACTTCAATTTAACATTATAGAGGAAACTTCTACAGCAAATACGTAATTGAACAAGATTGTAGCATAGATTTTTTTTAAATCTCTTTTCCCCATACATCCTTTGTTCATCAACAATTACCATCAGTAATTGTTAATAACAATTTTCAAGAAAAATTACTTAAAAAGTGGTGAAATAACTCCAATATCTTCAATAACATTGAGACATGTAAGCCGGTCACAAAGAGAAATAGTTATCACATATGCATCTGTTTGATTGGATGTTTTTGTCTGCAAATGAAGAGAGTTAAATTTCAAATAATTCCCTTTTTAGGAATATCTTTGAAAACTGTTTACAGTGTTAGCAAGAATTAGAATATTGAATTATATGGAAAATAACTCAATGTCTAAATTAGCTTAATTTCCTTTTAGGAATATGTTTAAAAATTGCCTCATAGTGCTAGCAAGAATTTGAATACTGAACTATGTGGGAACTACTCACCTGATATTTATTGCTCATTACTGTTGAATTTATCAGTGCGAAATTAGCTGATAACTGCTCAATGTTCTTGTTGAGATACACGATCATTTTATTCATAACAGAAGGACTAGTGTAGTTCGGTATGGTAACCATGAATTTAGCGGCCATTTTAAGTGCGGACTTCACTGCTTCACTAGATATTGTAACGGCTTAAATTTCACAAAATGGACTATGATATAAATTCATACTAGATATGATAATGGCTTAGATCACTAGATATTGTAATGGCTTAAATTTCACAAAATGGACTATGATATAAAATCATACTAGATATTGTAATTAAAATCACTAGATATTGTAATGGCTTAAATTTCACAAAAATGGAACTATGATATAAATTCATATTAAGCACAGCATTATCTGAACTCGCCAAAAAAGTCACCAAAATCTTCTCTCCTTTTCCACCCAAAAAATGACCTGCAATTTATGTTAAACATCTCTAATTATCTAATTATAATGCGTTTTTCACTGGTAAGGAGAGAGCTGTCTTACATCTGCCAGTCTTTATCAAGATAAAACGGAATTCGCAATTTCTAAAATAAAAGCTTGTTTTACATTAACGTTAAAAATGCAGAACTCATGGGAATATTTTGTTAAAAGCAAAGTGAATAGGCAAAAGGATGAAAACCAGTTTATGGATCTCGAAATGGTCATGAATTGAGTCAAGAATGCTTCACCTATCTAAACTGCGTTGTTTTGAAATTGAAACGGGCATACACGTCGCATGACCTCATTAAAATGTGCTTTTTATGGATATAGAAAAAAACCGAATAAAATTTTAACTTATACCCGCCTGCCAGTCTATATAAAGTACTATGCTTTATCCAACTTGACGAGTTGTAATATCAATCTTCAAACCACATGTCATAGCATGTTCCAATACTACCTACCCTTTGCTAGGATGAGACTCGCAGAGTGGAATTTGCAGAAAAGAAATCTTATGGATATTATGTTTAAAATTTTTCACAGCAATAAGAACACTTACTTCGGTTGCGTATCATTCTGTAGTGCCTCATGCATTGCCATCACTGTATCAACAAAGTTTTTTAACACTGGAAAATCGACACGAAGTTCGACATCAGTATTATGGTCATCTTCAACTGGTGCTATCATAACATACGAAATCAGCACCTTTAAATGAAATGGGATTCATTGTTTATTAAAACGTGATGGAAGACTACCTCAAGTAACTGAATATCATTCTTCGAAAGCTGTAAGATAAGAATATGAACCAAGGATGAATGAATGAAGTCATGAACTAAGTCAAAGTACGCAATATATTACCTCCTATTTGTCAGGTAATCCGATGAGATTTATATTTTATGACAATGTAAATAGCATCATTACGGTTTCTTAGGTCAAATCCAAAATGAATTTCAATTAAATCTACTTTCTTCTATACTTTTCATTTCCAGTACTATGTCTCTGAAGCCTTCCTCGTTGTAGTTTATATAAAAAGTAACTTTTCTAATGTTTTGGTGGTATACGACAAAAAAATAAAATGAAAAATGCAGCTCTGTACTGCAAATTCAATAATCTTCGTAAATGGTCAAACAACTTCAGCATAGCCATGCGATACGAACCGACATAATATTAAGATATCCCATCGATTCTTGCGCACTACGCCGTAAAGCTGGCAAGACTTTGGGACACACTTTGCTGAGCAATCGCGTTGCGCTCCATGGATCATACAGCGAAACTGCTAGTGATAATAAACAGTGCATCAAATTCAAATAGCTTCTCTAAAATATATAATCCAAAATAATACATAAGATAGTGTAAGTAATATATAATAAAGGCGATAAGCAATTATAAATGTCACAGAAGCATTATGCCAACTCATTACTGTCATTAAAAAATGAGTCACATTACAAATTAAGCATGTCAGCATAAAAACAACATATGATCCAGTAACTCCACTGGACGAAATGAAATACAGCAAACGACTGGAATACCAAGGAAGGTGAAAGTGTATCGGATGCGTCATCATTAGTAAAATACACAGCGATGTATGGTAAGTTATCAAGTAATGTTGATCGTTTATAGCCATCACATTTTGCTGACAAGACTGCTGATGACTGCTCGGGAGTATACAGTAATCCCTAAAGTGTTTTTTCACCATTAATGTCTTAGTTTTTAAAATTTTCTTCATCTCGGATGAACTGTTTCCTTCTGAACAAAAATTAACCTTATCTTGCTCTTTTAGACATTCAAATGTAGTGGAGATAAAGTCATCAGGCAAAATCGAACCAAATGATACGTTTGAAATCTGGAAAATTACAACGTTACTTCGCAAAAAATACTAATCAAATTAAAGAATGGTCGAAAAACCATTTCCAAAGAATTATTATGGTCAGGATATATCAATATCATGTGTTACTGCAATTAACAAAAATCCGGATTAATCTAGTAGTACGAGTCCCACGACTCCTCACTCCAAACTACGAGCCAAAATTTCAATAATCACGGTCTGCCGAAGACCTTCTTGAATTACCTTATTTATGGCAGATAAAGATCGCATACGATCCTTCCCAATATACAGCCGATCATCATAAACCATCACCATATACCTGCTCATAAATAGCTCCATCTCCTCAATATCAACAAATCCCATACACTGTCCCTCCATTTGACCATGCAAATACGGAACTTTTACATAGACTATGATGGAAAAATCCACACAGCTGAAGCCTGCAGTGATAAAAGAACGATTTATTTGAAATTCTCAGTCAAACAACCTTAGTGGAAAAAACCTGAGAAAATGTTCAGCAAAATTAACACTTTCCAGAACTGTCTTCAACAAAATTTTATTTAATAAATGTTCCATTCTAAAGGAATACGAAAAAATATCGAGAAGAATACAAACAAAAGTAATACAATGAAATCCTTCACAAAAACAAATGATCTAAAGAACAGAGTCCGATCCGAAAAAATCATCAATCGAATAACGGATCAGGATGAACGAGGTAAAGGATAATGAAATAACCGCAGTGCTCTAAAAATAATCATCGACAAAACACTAAGTTATATTACTGTTCGAAAACAATAAACAACTGAAATATCAAGTAAAACAACCATACTGCTGCTGCTCGTTACATGCATATTGATCTCGACAATCAGTTGGAAAAAAGTAAAAACTTTCATGAGACTAAGACATGACCACATAGCCAATAGAGAGAAGTATTTGTATCGGAATATTAAAAGTTGAAATCAGTGAAAGTGAAGTCAAAATTTTTGACAAAAGAAACAAAAACAAAAACAAAAAAAAAAAAACAAGAAAAAAATAAAAACAGAACAGCATGGGACAAGGACATACAACACATTTGAACCGTAAAAGCAGGAGGCAAAAAAATGCGACTATTCACGGAATAACTCTCAATATTTCAAATGTATAATGTATACTAAGTTATACCTTCTTGTAAGCTATAGAAACATACAATGAAATAAACTGATGATCAACGATTCACTTAGTGGATTTCTTAGAAAGTTAATCTAAATGGTTATTTCAAATATTGCAGTAAAAATCAATGCATTCTTCCATCTGCAATCACCAGTTCAAGCATTACAAATACATGTACTATCGCCGCCGTGCATGTCTCCACTGGCTCTTTCCCTCACTCTTCTCTCAATCCTTTCTCGCAATAATGCATACGAATGCATGCAATTATAACGATCTAAGGTTTAACAGGCTCATAATATGACGTCTTAAAAATCAGGCTAAATGACGATATCACCGAAGAACATGAAACATTAACAGAGATGAAAAATCAGATCTCCATTTTCTCCATTTTCTGCTCTTCCTGCTTCTGGTGGCCACGCTTATTCATATACTCTTCGAGTTCTCGATCCAGTTCTTCGTCCGTCATTTGCGGACGTTTTGAACGATTCTTACGACGATTTTTGATCCCTGTGAGCTACAAAGTGATCCAAGTACACATGTACAAATTAAAATTGTCAATGTTACCAAAAATCTTCCAGTAGAATTACAGAAATATTCACTTGTTCATCACATCATCTATTTACTGCTGATGATTTCAAACCATACTGGAAGTAGCAAAGCTATGGTCCCACAAAAACAATCATCCAACTGACCAAATCGTTTAGTAATCTCATCCTTTTAGTTAATTCCCAGTGATTAAGAACTTAAGTCTAATAAAAACTCACCGGACGCTTCGGTGGTCGCTTCTTAATTACACCCCATGACCGTTCTCGAAAACTTAAACGATTCTTAACAGGAACATTACGACTAGCCGGAATGGTCTGATCATCGATCATGTGGAAGGACATTACTTCACCTGTAAAATAAATGATAAAGTCAAATCAACAGTAATGATAAAACCAAATCAACAATACATAAGATGGATATTATACCACAGAAGCATGCATAAGCCCATAAATTAGTTTAGTAACAAAGATCGCCAGCAGCTCCATAGTTTTACCCATGACTGAAGAAAATATTCAACATTTGATCACGTTGTAGCACATGTCTCCAAGACATCGAGAAGCTATGTTCCATAGCTACAGTGATAACTTTGCTCTGAACACAAAAAACTCCAAAAATGGGATATGCTGCATGGACCATGTCAAAACCAAAATGAGTATTTCACTTACCGTCAAGTGCAACACCATCTAAATTGGCGACAATTTCCCTAGCAGTAACTCGATCAGTCACAACATCAGCTGTACCCACCGACTCCCCCATTTCATCGTAATTAACATTGGCTGAGATAATCGAATATTCCTCGAAAAGCTCCTGAAAGATCAAACCGTTGTTTGATTTGTTTGATAACAGAATAAATCACACGTCCCTATCCGAAAACAAATCTGTCCTGTAATGCAAAACTTGCTAACTTTGTCCATGTTATTTTCACTGGTCTACTGCATACTTTCACACTAAACTTAGAGATATGTCATATTAGATCCGACCAGCCATTCAGTGCATTTCCAGTGATGAAGCGCAATTTCACCGTCACTGGACGGTAGAACTGCGCTTTAAACAAAGCTGAAAACGGGAAAACCCGAAAGAAACAGCGATGATAAACCATGCACACCTCATAATTTTGCAACGATTAATCGTGTGCTAGACCATCACATAATGACCTTAACCTCTAACGACCTCAATGCATAACAAAACCTCAGGTTGCTCTCACTAATATTGCTCTTACTTCTACCTACATCACTAACATCAAAACATACATTGAGGTCAGCTGAATTAACCGTTGGTGCCAGATTTGTGATGTGAAGTCGCACTTTTCTTGCTAAATCAACACGGTTGAATCGACCACCACGTTCTAGAGCTGGAAGTGGAGAAGAACCATCACCAGATCCATTACCATACATTTCCTCAAATCCGCTATGGTCCCATTTACCCGAAGGTACATCCTACAAATTATGGAATAATTAAGAAAACCAAAATACAGGAATAACGAAAATAAACGTCTGTGGTCCTCTGTAAATCGTTGATGGAATGTTCATCAAGATTGTTTAATTCCAAAACTTTATACAGTGTCACAAATTCTACACTCAGATTGTGACTACATGACCTGGATGATCAGTTGACTCGACTACCTGATATATGCCATTTTAACAGAATGATTATATAGGCAACAGCGGCTAGCAATAAAAGCAGACCGAAAAAGTTAAAGGCAACGATTTAATCAGTAAATTCTTTATCAACCTCCAGAACCTTATTTGACTGAGAGCTTGAGAATATATTTATAAGATGTAGAGATTGGTCTTGGAGAGCAGTACGACCATAAATTATTAGTAAACTTGCCTCTGGTCTCGTGAATGCTGAATTGGTGGTGGAATACTCCGGAGCAAAATCCCTTTTCTTTCTGTTGCTACGAAAACGATTGGTGGATCCATTTGATTTTTTGTCCGTTCCCTGGAATAGGGATGCAATGTCCTATTCAGACCGTTGGAGTTTAAACAAGAACAAGCAAGAAAAGTGATAAAGCGAGTGAAAAATAGATTTTGAAAAGAAGATAAGGGAAGCAAACATGAAATTCACATTACATGCTTGTTCGTTTCTCTTTTTTTTTCTTTTTTTTTAACCGAAACATTCAGTGCCATAAAAATCACACGTTTTTATTCGAAAGTGTTTAACGGAAAAAATCACATCACCTTTTTTTCCGTAAAAGAGTGATCTGATGAAACCACCACTACGATGCTTTATGTTAATAAGCAGAAGGAAAATGTGGAAACCTACTCTTCGGCGCGCAATAATTTCATCCAACGATAAATTAACCAAACTCATGTCGTACACCAGATACCGGAATCCTGAGAATACAAAGATATAATTCTGCTGACAACATTAGAAGATACAATTTTAACAGACGCAAGGAAAATGTACACGTAATATTTTCAAACTATTAGCATTCCAATAAGAAACATAGGAACGGAGGATAGAAAAAAAGAAACATAGAATGAGAAAAGCGGAAAATTCTTCACTTTGTTAAAAGAAGTGAAGCAAATAATCTACCTAAATCTCTCACAAAAATCCTGAAATGAACATGAGCAAAGAAACTCCTCGACTCCAAACATTCCATCTACAAACCCACTTACGTACGTCAAGCTTGAAAACACTAGAAAAACTTCCCGATTCCAAACGTCCCGTTTACAAGCCCATTAACGTACGTTAAGCTTGAAATCACCACGTCTTCCTCCTCGACTGTATTATCACAATAACCTGTACGCGCCTACCCAATCTTTTAAGTTTTCAGAAATTGAACTTCGAAAATTGCAGCAATCCCTGTTCTCTCCTCAATGGTGTGCTATTTTATAGCTTTCAACCTCTATGTCATTATATCTCATAATTGTAGCAATCTTTACCTCTACGCCGAGCTAAACTATGGTATCCTTTTCATCTTTCAATATCATCATGGAGTATGATGAAGAGAATCGTACAACGATGACTGGTGTTGTGATCATTTTAGTTCGCAGTTATCTTTGGCAAGAAACGGTTGGTTACACGTAAACACTAAACGCATAAATTGGACAGTTGATTATTTGCAGTAATCTGGGAAATCTGATCGCTATATTAATTCTCTTATGCAAGAGTTCAAGTTATTGCTGGATGCTACGACAAATAATAGAATGATCAGGCTGTTCCGGTTATCCGGATCTATGAGCCATTATTGGTGGTTTTGCTCCCCATACCTGGCTTCCGAAATCCTAATGAAATTAAGTTGAAAAAAAAAGAAGCGAAGGAGAATTAAATAAAGAAAAAATAAAACATGGGACTTTGAGAAAAACATCCATCACCACAAAATATATTCCATACTTTTCTACCCTCGTCTACCTTTCCTCGAGCAGGAAATCATTTCCAGTCCATTTTCTCTTTTCCCATCCTGAAGTTGAAAGGCAATTCCTTAATTTACTCAAATAATTTAAAATGACAGCATATGTTTAACAAAGTTACATCACGCACGTAACATTCAAGCTGGAATAAGAAAAGCAGGATTGCACAACAAATATCTTGCACTTGGGATTTAAATTTTTCGAAGTGGTGCGGTCAGTGTAGCACAAATAGTGGTGTAGCAGGCCTGTTGTTCTGTCGTTGTGGAAGTTGTAGGATTATTCACTGTTCGAAACGCTGTGGGTGGTAATTGGTCGTATTTTAAACTTGGCTATAATCACGCTGTCGCATTGCAGTCGCGCGTTTCACACAACGGTTCCCGTAACCTATCTTAATTGTCCCGCTTTCTCTGCATCAGCAACCCGCTTGCTACGACTGGTTTGACGGGAACGCGTGGGAGGGTCTGGAGATCAGCTGACCTGGAAAGCTGTCAGTTATTGCCTTATGTCATGTGCGTGTGTTGTATGAGCGGAGTGGTCCCATTTGGGATAGGACGGGATGTCCGGATACGTTTTATTTATTTTTCGGGATTTACCACTCATTAAATATTTGTTTTTCGGAATTTACGATTCATTGGGTAGACTTTGCCCTGTTCAACTTTGAGTTAGGTTCAAATGGAAGTAGTATTTTTTCAGGAACTTTTTTTCTCCAGTCATAGATCTGACTTACAAGACTTATAAATTAATTTCACTTATACTGACTTATAAGTTAATTTCATGGCATCATCGTCCGTTTGCATTATGTTTTTCGTGTAAATGTTTCTGCATGGATAAATTGGTTTCGTTTCAGTGTAGGGTTCACGCAGGGGGAGTAATCCAGAAGGAAAAATGGTGATTTTTGCTATACTTTTGTAAAACTTTTTCATTTTTTCCAGAAAAAAAATATAGTTTTCGAAGTTTTGTAAACCCATCCATCCTTTTATATTAGTAAACAAACGTAGTGGTATCCGGGAGAGAGATAGAAGATATTTTTGCAATATTCCATAATTTGTGACAATGATAGATGGGGTTTTTTTGGGCATTAGGTGTAGGAGGAGCTGTCGGAAACTTTTGCGAGAATGATCTCAGGCCGTAAGTTTTATGCTGCTTCCGTTATATTTATGACTCAATTATAGATAAGGTTAATTGACTAAAGCAAGTTCGACTTTTACTATAACCGTTATATACATTTTCAGGGTATCGATATAAATCATAAATATGACCGTAAAGTTCGGCGTAAAGCGCCAAAAAGTGAAGATCCATATCTTCGAGTCCTAGTTAAGGTATGTTCCTGTTAAATTTCGGTTGGTTTCTTCCCGAATTCTTGCTAGATGGACGGAATTCTCTGATATCTGTCTGTGCTTTTCCTTTGGATATTAGTGTGTATATTGCTTGTTAATTTTATTTAGTTATAATGCTATTGGTTTGTAAAGTGATAAACAAATAGGCTATTACTACAGGATAACGTAGCGGTTATCTTCACCCGCTTTATCTGGTTCATGAAGGGGTGGGCCTGTTCCATAGTTTTATTGTGAAAAATGGGTTTCATCGGATGACTGAGCAGATTTAATAAATTTCGATAATTTAGTTATATAAATATCTGACTCGGCGAACTGGTGCAAAATTCGATGCTATTATTACCAGAAGGTTAATGATGGCACGCCGCCATCGTCCACCTATGTCACTTGCTCGTTTGATACGTTACATGAAAAGAGGTGATAACATAAAGAAGATAGCTGTGATAGTCGGAACTATCACGGATGATAATCGGATTTTCGAAGTACCCAAGCTTACGGTTTGTTTCATAAATATTTGTTTCAGGTTTTGTTCCGTGTCGTTCATCATGTTGTTTTAGAAGAGATAATTAAGATTTTAGAGCATATTCCCGTGCTGGATTGACATTTTTGAATGGTAACTTATGTATTAATTTAACGAATTTCTAGGTTGCTGCTTTACATGTAACTAAAGGAGCACGTGCCCGAATAATTAAAGCAGGTGGTGAAATAATCACATTCGATCAACTTGCTCTGCGCGCACCGCGAGGAGAAAATACTTTCCTTTTGCAAGGACCACGAAAACACCGCTTGGCTGAAAGACATTTCGGTCCAGCACCAGGTGTACCGCACAGTCACACCAAACCACTTGTTCGTTCTAAGGGACGCAAATTTGAACGCGTAAGTTCCTTTCAGGCTGCGACTGTCTGTCTGAAGGTTATTGGTATATACAAAGAACTGGCAGGCAACTGCCGACGTGAACAGTTTAGGAATTCAGGGTTTTGCGTATTCTTTGCGGGAGATGTTTTTCTTTAGTACTTTGATCGTGTTTTGCTACAAGTAATATGTTTCAGGCTCGTGGACGTAGAAAGTCTCGTGGATACAGAAACTAAAAGCGTTGTCCCAATCCCTATAAGCGTTGTTCCTAATTTCTGTCAGCTTGTTTCTAAATGGATATTGTTATATTACTTCATAAAGTATAAAGTCGTAATTGTGGGCGTTATTACTGGTAACACTGATTCCCCGCATCTAGCCTGGTTAGTTGGTCGCAGCTGAAAACATTTTTCTACTGCCGGAATAGTTGTTGCAAAAGGCTGTAATTGATCCGAGTGGTTTTTTTTTCTTTTTCTTTTTTTTTACTGAAACATGTGACATCAGGGAAGAGTGTGTAGTGGTCAAATTGATTGGAAGTGACCAGATAAAGAAATGATTACTAAAAATGGCAGGTTGACACTGATGTCGTGTTTACTCATGTTTTCGAGTTCGATTTCCACTGGATTCATTGACACTTGAGCGATAACTGAACTGTGATGAAGTCAGAGTTGTACCTGGTGTATAGAATGATAACTCGTCGTGTATTTCTTTGAAATGTTTGGATATTTATGTGACAAAAAAGGAACAGTAAATGAATTGGAGTGTTCCATGATTCATATAGCATACGATTTTATAAAGTTTGAGGGTTCAATAAAATCCCAAGTGTTTCGTTCGCAAGCGAGCTGTAACGGCTGATTATAAACATTGATGATGGAGTTTACGAATTGGGAATATTAGGTTTCATCGTTCCGGATTTAATTTTATTTGACATTTGGTTTTGATGTGAAGCTTTGACGTATGACTGAGAACTACGAGCTTGCACAATTCCCAAATCGAGTTTTGGTTCTAAAGTGCTCGTTTGTTGTGTATGATCCAGTTGATTTTTTGGGAACGCTCGCATTTCACACCTTTGGTTGTAGTTTTTTGAAACAATCGGTAATGGAATGCTTCTCTTTCCTCGTGAGCCACAAACTTGTCTTGAAAACCTAAGCAATATTGTAGATGAGCAGTCTTGTTTTTCGTTTAGAATAATACAAAACCTTTAAAGTTTTATTTTCTAGATTTCTTACACTTTAAAGCCCAAAAGTTGTGAACATTTTGTTGTCGAAGAAATCGAAAGAACGATAATTTCTCAAGATTTATCTCACGGTTGTCACGATATTATGACACCATGACAAGTGAGATCACGTTATACCGTTTCATCTCACTGATAAAGTAACTGGTACGCTAACAATTATCATTGTGCTTCGACCGTACGTACCAATGCTATACCATAACACGGCAAGGTATTAACGAATTTCCTTAAGGGAAGTTAGTCAGATAGGATTTAAAATTTTTGAGGATTTAAAATATTCTGACATGGAGAACAGCGAAATGGCATAATTTGAGATACTTAGCAATACTTTGCATCTCAACATATTGGGATAAACATTCTGGAACATTGCAAACATTTCGTTTCATCCCACTTCTGAAAAGTCAGAGGAATGTGGGGATTAAGTTTCCAAAAGAAAGAAAAAAGGAGTGTGACATTCCCATTAAGCGGGTTATATTAATTTGTTACTTAAGAGATGTTGAACGATTTTTAAATGAGGCAAACATTTATGTTTAGCAGTATGAATTTATGGCTATTCAGTATTTTAATGTTATCATTGCCTGTAACATTCTTTTGCGATTTCATTCAATTCCTTACAAGAATTTTAATCCATTAAATTTCAATTCATTTGTTGTTTCGATGGCAATGAGTGAATTTGCCTTAACAAAATGGTCTGAAATTTACCTAAATCCAAGTTAAATTTGTTAAAATAATTTGTTAAAGTTTTTCCTGCATATAAAAAAAAATAGGAAAGAAAAAAAAAGCTATAAAGAAAATAATTTTCATATTACAAACATCAATACACTCGTAAAAATAATTGTTAACAATCAAAAATGAGATTTCGAATGATAATCAAAAAAATTCAAAGCTAAAATTTAAAATTTGTATAAGCAATCATCCCAAATAAGATGAATTGCCTAAACGAAATAGTTTGAAATCTATGTAAATCCCGATTAAATTTATAAAAAAATTCATTTTCTTTACACAAAAAAAAAAAAAAAAGTGGAAATGAAAGTACAGTATATGCTTGTTTGCAGTTACCTAAACTAATAGAAAAAATAATTTTGAATTTTAAAATTGGGAAAAAGTTTGAAAATTGCTTTTATTTTTATTATTGGATTTAAAAGCTATTTTCAATTATCATTCACTAATTCATCATGATTGGGTTTTGGTTTGTTCCTATAAATGATTCATTTATTCAATGCTTTTTTTTTTCTTTTTTTTTTTTAGAAAATAAAAAAAAAGAACCC